AAAGAAACCAAACCGCCCCGGTGCGGGAAGCGCCTGGCGCGCGACATGTGGCGGCGTTGGGACGCTCCCGCACACCAGAAAAGTGTCCGCTGGGGCACCCAGCCATGGGGTGCCACCCAATTTAGTTGCTCCCATGGTAATCATACCACAGGATCCAGGTGATGCGATACACCTAGGCAGGCCAAGAGAGCCCGAGCGTATCCTGAAAGTTCATCTTGTGCACTGGAAAAGTACCTCGGGTTTCCAAAGTTGTTAGGACTTGTTTTCCAAGTTTTGTGATATTTCTAGCAAAAGTATCCACATGCATTTCTACACCAAAGAGGTTGTTAAAGATATATTATGGCGGCTGTTATGGATATCTTATGGCGGATGTTATGGATGTCTAGTTAAAGATCAAGATTAAACATACATGGTTTATTAGAAGTTGATGCCTGTAACTCTCTTCTTTAACTCTCTTGTAAACCTCCGTGTATCTCTCTTACTCTCAACGTGCTATGCACAATTGTAACAATCAAGTGTATGCATTTATGGGATAAGCCCCATCCTATGAATATATAATATGCGGGCTCTCCACCAGGAGAATTGAGACGCTTTACCCATCTTGACATGGTATACAGAGCCTCCTTCTTCCATCACATCTAGCAAACCCCTCACCACCGCAGCCTTCATCTTCCACCTTGAGCCGCCATGTCCTCCTCCACCCAAGTTTCTCCCCTTGGCCTCAATTACACCACATCCGAGCCTCTCAACCGAACCAACTATGTCATCTAGAAAGCCCAAGCTCGTTCCCAAATCATGGGGGCTGGGCTATATGGGTACATCGATCAATCCACAGTCGAACCCACAAAGACCATCATGACCAAGAACTCCGATGAGAAAGAAGAGATCATTCCCAACCCCGCCTACAACCCCTGGCTCATCCAGGACCAACAGATCGTGGCCTATCTCCTCCGGAACCTCTCTAAGGAAGTTCTTGTTCAGGTTGCATCCCTAGAAAAATCCCAAGCGATCTGGTCAGCACTCGCTAACATGTTCACCGCCCAATCCCTCTCCCATGCCAACAATTGCCGCATCGCCCTCTCAAACGCCCAAAAAGGCTCACAGAGTGCATCTACTTACTTCAGTCAGATGCGAGCCCTCTCTGATGAGCTCGCTGCAGCTGGCAAACCCATCAAGGACGAGGAGCTTCTCTCCATCATCGGGGGGCTGGATATGGATTATCAGCCCCTCATCTCGGCGCTGGATGTCCGCGCGGAGCCCCTGACCGTGGATGATCTCTTCGGCATGGTCTCAAATTTCGACCAACGAGTCGAGATGTTACAAGGAACGGGGGCAGGTGCCTTCAAATCCTCTGCCAATCTCGCTGCCAGAGGCCGTGGCGGGTCTCCCAAGGGCTACCGCAAGGGTGGTGGTCGTGGCGGTGGCTATGGTGGTAACAACAGTGGCAACAGCTACAACACCGGTGGCAACAGCAATTACAACACCGGTGGCGGCGGCGGTGGTGGTGGCGGCGGCGGCGGCCACTACCACAACAACAACTACTACTACTCCGGCAATAACCGGCGCCCCTCCTATAACAACAATAGGGGTCGTCCGTTTCAAGGTTATGATGAGTATGAAAATAAATGTCAAATTTGCAAAAAAATAACCACATTGCAAGGGATTGTGATTGGCACTATGCCGAGAACAATTCACAACGCAAGAAAGTTGCAGCAGCTGCAGATACATCTTATGGAGTTGATACCAATTGGTACGTTGACTCTGGAGCCACAAATCACATCACCAATGAGCTTGAAAAGGTGACCATGAGCGAGAAGTACCGTGGCCATGATCAAGTCCACAACGCAAACGGTGAAGGTATGAAGATAGATCATGTTGGTCATGCAATTGTCAATACCCCTCATCGGAATATTCATCTTAGAAATATCTTACATGTCCCACAAACTGAGAAAAATCATCTTTCTGTTCATCGTATTGCCATAGATAACAAAGTTTTTCTTGAGTTTCACCCCTACTTCTTTTTGATTCGTGATCAGGCCACGAGGAAAATTCTCTACCGCGGTAGATGTGTGCATGGGCTCTACCCTTTGATTCCTCAGTTTAGAAGCTTCAATAAACAAGTGTGTGGTGTCATCAAAATTTCATCGGAACGGTGGCATGCGCGGCTAGGACATCCTTCTTTTGTTATTGTTCAACAAGTGCTTCGAAATAATCAGCTCCCATGTGTTGGTGAGCGTAGTCTTGAAACTATTTGTGATTCTTGTCAAAAAGCGAAAGCTCATCAATTACCATATCCTATTTCCACTAGTATTTCTACCAAGCCATTGCAACTTGTTTTTTCTGATGTATGGGGTCCAACTCCTTCTTCCGTTGGTAGACATACTTACTATGTTAGTTTCATAGATGACTACAGTAAATTCACTTGAATCTATCTTCTTAAAAAACGTTCTGATGTTTTTCAAGTTTTTCATAATTTTCAAGCTCTTGTTGAACGCCAATTTGACACTAAAATCCTTGCTGTCCAATCTGATTGGGGTGGTGAATACAAGAAGTTAAACTCGTTTTTTCAAAAGTTGGGTGTTTTGCATCATGTTTCATGCCTGCATGCTCACCAACAAAACGGATCTGCCGAGCGCAAACATAGGCATATAGTTGAGGTAGGATTTGCTCTCCTAGCCGCCTCCATGCCTCTCAAATTTTGGGATGAGGCATTTCTTACTGCAGTTCATCTCATCAATATGCTACCCAATCGTGTCATCAACAATGAAACACCCATGCAACGACTCCTTCATACTCGACCGAACTATAACTCTCTTCGTGTCGTTGGATGCGCTTGTTGGCCAAACCTTCGTCCCTACAATACTCACAAACTCATGTTTCGCTCAAAATAATGTGTTTTCTTGGGTTATAGTGCGCAACACAAAGGTGTCAAGTGCCTTGATGTTCCTACAGGTCGAGTATATATTTCTCGTGATGTGGTCTTCGATGAAACTATCTTCCCTTTTGCTCATCTACATCCTAATGCCGGTGCCCTACTTCGCCAAGAAATCCTTCTACTACCACCTCATTTGTCTGGTTTTCATCAAGGGAATGACAATTGTACTGACCACTTGACTAACTCTTCTAACCGTGCAAATGAGATTTGTGATGACGCAGGCTCAAGTGGTGAAGCAATAGAAAACAATTTGGCGTCAAATGGTGAAGAAAATGGCCAAAATGGCCCATATTTCATGTGTCCCCCGCTACGTGACAGAGCTGCTCCCGAATCTGCATCGGGATCGCGTGCAATTACCGGATCGGGTCTAACCACGTCCCTCTCCTCCTCTCCACCACGGACCTCTCCTCCTCTCCACCGCGGACGAGCGCCCCCCCACTCCGTCGCGGTTCCGGTTTGAGCTTTTCTGGCTTAATCAGGCGGGCTTCCGGGAGGCTGTCGTCGCTCGCTAGATCTCCGCTCGCGCCTCCCCTCATCGCTCCATGTCCGCAGTTGACTCGTGGCAGTTCTGTGCCAAGCTCGCCCGCCAATTCATGAAGGGATGGGGCGCTAACCTTGG